TCAGACCTCAGGAGAGACTTTTCTCCCCACCCAGTCATTGAAGATTTGACTCACAAGACAGGGAACTTCAAACAATTCAACATCTTCTGTCATATGCTGGAGTCAGCCCTCACTCAGGTAGGGCCCGGGGTGGCGGGTGCGGGTGGGAGGGGGGTTCTGTCTTCCAGGTTCCTGGGGGGTTGATGCCCAACTGATGTGTGTCAGACCCTCTACCTCTTCTTTCATCGTGGGAAGAGGGCGATCGTTTTCTTCTTTTGCCAAATGTAAATGGTTCATTTTGAATTTAATGATAGTTATTCTCATGTAGAAAATTCAGGTCACAGAGAAATACAAACAAGAAAGTAAAAATCACTCCATCCCTAATACTCGCTTCTGTTAATATTTCGGTGAAAATCACTCCAGCCATTTCTCCATGTCTCTGTTTCCAAATACCTGCGTGTATGTGTGTGTGTGTGTGTGTGTGTGTATGTGTATGTATTTGCAGACCTGTAATTATATATAGTTTATCTATTTTCCAAGGTATTCTGCAACCTGCTTGTTTTTGTTTGTTTGTTTATTTGTTTTTTTGAGATGGAGTCTCGCTCTTGTTGCCCAGGCTGGAGTGCAGTGGTGAGATCTCAGCTCACTGCAACCTCCGCCTCCCAGGTTCAAGCGATTCTCCTGCCTCAGCCTCCTGAGTAGCTGGAATTACAGGTGCATGCCACCATGCCTGGCTAATTTATTGTGTTTTTAGTAGAGATGGGGTTTCACCATGTTGACTAGGCTGGTCTGGAACTCCTGACATCAGGTGATCCACCCACCTTGGCCTCCCAAAGTGTTGCAATTACAGGCATGAACCACAGTGCCCAACCTAAAAAGTAATAATCGGGGGAAAAAAAGAAGGTTAGAACTTAGAGTGACGGGGTTGAGTGGTATTTAGATATCTTTTTTCTTTCTTTCTTTTTCTTTTTTTTTGAGGCAGAGTTTTTCTCGGTTGCCCAGACTCAGTGGCACAGTCTTAGCTCACTACAACCTCCGCCTCTTGGGTTCAAGTGATTCTCATGCCTCAGCCTCCCAAGTAGCTGGGACTATAGGCGTGCCCACCATGCCCGGCTAATTTTTGTATTTATTTATTTATTTTTTTGAGACACCGTTTCTGTCGCCCAGGCTTGAGTGCAGTGGCACGATAGTGGCTCATTGCAACCTCTGCCTCCCGGGTTCAAGCAATTCTTGTCCTTCAGCCTCCCGAGTAGCTGGAATTACAGGCATGTGCCATCATGCCCGGCTAATTTTGTATTTTTAGTAGACATGGGGTTTTGCCATCTTGGCCAGGCTGGTCTTGACTTCCTGGCGTCGAGTGATCCACCTGCCTCGACCTCCCAAAGTGCTGGGATTACAGGTGTGAGCCACTGCGCCCGCCTGGACAAGCGATAGTTTCTTGAAGGTTAGTTGCAGTGTGGAATCTGCATCCTCATCAGTGAACTTTTTGTATTGTTACCTTAAATTCCACTGACTTATCTTGCATTTTGCATGGATCTTTTTTTACCTTTGGATGACTTTGTAACATCATGCATTGGTCATTTGGAAAATCTTGGTTCACTAAGTTGCGCAGATTTTTCAAATGTTGACACATTGCCTTATACAGTATCCAGAAATCACATTTGTTAATATCCTCACCGATCTCCCCAGGAAAGTCTGTGAACACCAAGAAGCTATCAAACACCCAGTGGAAGGTACAGGTTTTCCAAAATTCTAATTTTAAGTGGAAAGCTTGAATTTTGTTATTGGCAAGACATTCTGTTAGCTGTTTCTCTTGAAGTGACAAGCTCACTTTGTTCATTTTTGAGAAAATGTCTGCCAGATAGCCCAAGTCTAAATAACCATAGTTTTGTCTGTCAGTAGTTTTTTTTTTTTTTTTTCAAGTAAAAATCGTGTTCCATGAAAAACGGCTAATTTAGCTCAAAACTCAGATGCAGAATCGCTTTTTCCTGAGACCATCGTCATACTTTGGCGTGCACAGAAGTACTTGATGTGTACTTCCCATTTTCTTGCACAACATAATGAAGAGATGTGTCCTCTAGGAGCTGGATTCAATAAAATTAATAATTTTTACTGCTTCATCGAGAACATTCCGATGTTTCATTTCCTGTGTTTTATGGTTGATTTGCTTATTTACTTGTTTGTTTATTTCTCTTGCCCAGCTCCCCGCTGAGACTGGGGAGATACAGTAACCTCCAGTGTCATTCGGTGCCAGGAGCTTGGTTTCTGCTAAGGCACCAGCAGTTTTTCCCACCATTGCTTTTGTACCATTTGCACACATGTCAACACAGTGCCAAAGACAAATGACATCTTTGTATTATTATGAAAGTAGCTTTGATCTCAGTGGACATCCCCTAAAGGGTCTCGGGGACCCCCCCCAGGGATCTGGAGACAGCACTCGGAGAGTCACAGGTCTAAGCTGTTCTCTGTGGTTGAGCATTTAGGTTCTTTCTGGTTTCTCCCTTTGATGAAGTCCTTGTGTCTGCCCTGGGACAGGGCCATGTTGATCGCCAGCCTTCGCGTAGGAAATGCTAGCCCGCCTAGAGAACAGGAAGGGCTGTGGCCCAGGTGTGTGCTAGGTGCCCTCAGTGTGGTGGTGGCGGGTGCCGTGGCAGCTCCTCCTCTCCTCTCCTGACAGAGTAGTGAGTCAGTCACCCTGGACCTGCTGACCTACACAGACCTGGAGTCCCTGCGGAACCGCAAGATGGGGGGCCGCCCAGGCTCCTTGGCCCCCAGATCGGCCCAGCTCAACTCCAAGCGCTACCTGATCCTCATCTACTCTGTGGAGTTTGACAGGTGGGGAGAAGGGACTGGCTCCAGGGCCAGGCTGGTAGGCGGGTGGGAGAGCGTGTGGGTGGATCTTAGGAAGTCCTGGCACCCAGGCAAGGTGACATTGGTTAAGCCTTGCCTTGGGAATCTCACCTGTTGGGATTTGTATCATTTAGTATTGTGTTTGGTTACAAGTAGCAGAATAACCATCACCAGTATCCTAAACAAACAATGCATCACATAACAAGATGTCTAGGTAGGTTGGCTGCCACCTGTGCAACAGTTCACTAGGGACTCAAGCTCTTTCTTTTTTTTTTTCCCCTTTACCATTGTTAATGTGTTGGCTTTTTTTTTTTTTTTTTTTTTTTTTTTTTGAGACGGTGTCTCACTGGGTCACCCAGGTTGGAGTGCAGTGGTGCGATCTCGGCTCACTGCAACATCTACCTCCCAGGTTCAAGCAATTCTTGTGCCTCAACCTCCAGAGTAGC